TTTTTTTTTTTTTTTAGTATTTATTAATAAATTTTTTTCTACAGAGGGGTACGAGCTCTCAACAATGCATCAGCATTGTTGTGTTTTCGTCTACAGCGGTATATAATTTTAAAATTGTAGGGTTGCATCTGCAGCACCCATCGGGCTCTACGACCAGATAATTCAGCGGTTTGGAGCTATTTTAACGCGAAGTGGTCGGTTATCACTACAAAGAGATCCAGGCTAACATAATGCCAGAAATACTCAATCGACGAAAGGACAGCAAGACACTCCAACTCAGTGGTAGTATAATTTCTTTCAGGTTTCGTTAGTCCACGACTTGCATACGCAACAACGTATTCTTTTCTAAGATCATCCTTTTGGGCAAGTACGGCGCCAAGACCAAAACCGGATACATCAGTATATATGATAAAGGTTTTACTGAAATCGGGATAATGCAGAACAGAGGCATTTATCAGGTATTGTTTCAGTTTATTGAATGCATCTTCCTGTTCTTTTTCCCATTCATATTTAACATCTTTCCTCAATAATTTGTGTAAGGGGCGGGTGACAACAGCAAACTCTGGTATAAATTTTCGATAATATGAGGCCAAACCAATAAAACCTTGTAACTGCCGCAGAGTCTGAGGGATGGGGAAGTTCTTGACTTTCTTCACTTTATCTTCATCAGAGTGAACTCCGTCTCTACCAACTGTGTCCCAAAAAATGCAGATAAGGTTTAAAGAAAAAGCATTTATTCGGATTCAACTTCAGACCCACATTCTAAAACTTGTTAAAAATAGTAGCGATGTGTTTGACATGGTCTTCAAAGGTGCGAGAGTATATAATAATGTCATCCAAATACACAACAATGAATTTATCCAAAAAATCAGCTAAAACCTTATTCATCAGCCTTTGAAACGTCGCAGGCGTATTGCACAGGCCGAATAGCATTACTAAAAATTCATATGACCCGGAACTCGTCACAAAGGCAGTTTTTTCCTGATCTTTCTCAGCCACACATACTTGCCAATAACCAGACATCATATCTAATGTAGAGAACCAGGAGGCGAAACCAAAGACTTTGAGCAAATCATCGATATGGGGCAAAGGAAAAGCATCCTTCTTTGTAACGGAATTTAATTTCTGATAGTCCATGCACATTCGTAATTTTCTACCTTTTTTTGGTACTACAACAATTGGGGAGGCCCAAGGACTCTTGCTTTCTTTAATTAGTCCTTCCTCTTCCAACTTTCTGATTTCCTTTTTTATGAAATTCCGAACACTGGGGGCAGCACTATAGGAAGCCTGCTTTATGTGGGCCATGTCACCAGTTTCTATTGTATGATTTAGCACCATCATTTGTCTAAAATCAGCCACATTCATCGCAAAAATGTCCTTTTCCACCTTCAACAGATTTTTGATTCTTTCCCTTTGATCTAGAGTAAATTCGTTGAGTTCCAAATTTTTTTCTAATCTCTTTTTGACATCATCTTCTTTGGGGTCATCATTTTTCAAGGGCAATTCCTCAATATCAGAGAGGTATCCGGCTGGGCTTTGGTGGTTTCTCTACGGGTTTTCAAACAACTCCAATTCGTCAGCACTTTCAGTGAAAATCTTTCGGCTTCCTCTAATTCCTCTTCTTCATACTCCAAGTCATCAAAAGGGTTCAGTTCAAATTCCTCAATTTCTTCTGGTTTTTCGTTTTCAAGGGGTGGGTTTTCCCCATCGTACGATATCGGGACTTCGGCAGCACAACCTCCATACTGGACGTATAGCTTTCTTTCGTCCACATGCAAGCAGGCACGAGCCAATCAGAACCATTCTATACCCAACAAGAGAGTGGCTTCAGTAGATTCAATAATTTGGAAGGTTGTTGGAACCACAATTCCTCTCAAGACCAACTTGAGGTTCACGATTTTTTCCAAGGCCTTCTGTTTCGACCCATTTGCAATTACAACGGTGGTGGTGAATGGTTCATCTATTTTCAATCCTAGCTTTTGCAGCATCTTCATAGTCATAATATTAACAGCGGCTCCGGAGTCAAACACGGCGACTATCGGGTTATTCTTCACCTTCACATAGCACCAGGTGGCAGTGGTTCTTCCACTTGGCTGTTGGACGACATTGGTTTCCATTTCTTCCAGGACTTGTACTATCGTAGGTATGGGTGGTATTGGTGGAAATGGTCGCTTTAGCATTCACAAGCTTTTTTCTTTGATCAGGATATCGCAACATTTGTCCAAGGGTTACATTTGCCCTTTGGTTCATAATGTTCACAGCCACGTCATACGAGTCCAATTTATCAATCACGGAAGGACCTCTTTTCAGTGAGATTTTGGGGGCAAAACCACTGGGTCTACTTCGATAAGTAGTGGGTTTCTATCTTCCCGAGCTGATGTGGGGGTGACTATTAGTTAGGTGGACTTCGGTCTCTCATCAGCTTGGGCTTCTGCTTCTTTAAGGCAGCTTCTTGTTCTTTGTGAAGGATAGAGTTAGGGCGGTCTGCAGGCATTACTACTGCTTCATCGCTTCTGGTGGGTCTTTCTTCTTCCTCCAAGATACTGATGTAGTTTACGTCCCTTGGCCTTTGCAAAATTTGGGTTGCCAGGTTGTTTTGGTCTCGCGTTTGGTCCTGGGGATGATTCCAGGTTTGGTTCAGGTTCAGGTTTCTTTCCAACACCCTTTCAGACATACAGTTGTGTGAAATATGTCCGAGTTCCCCACATCTATGGCAGCGATATGGTGCACCATTATTATTATTTTCGCTTCTTTCTTCATTATAATTACCATTATTATTTCTATACATGGTCCGGGTTTTGTAGTCGACTCTACATGAGCGGCAAGGGTAAAAGTCAACTTTTCGAAACTAGCATACAACACTTGCATTTGCTGGTTTAATTGTTCAACATTATTGTTGGGGGTTCCATTTCTTCTTCTATTTTTTTTGTCATAGTATTCTCCAGCTTCAATTTTTCGAGCACTGGCGATTGCTTCCTCAAGGTTGGCAGGTTCACCAATACTCAGCCAAGAGGCTGTCCTTGGTTTCAGTTTTCCTAAAAATATTCGTACAACATACGATTGGGGCAACTCACAGCGGAGGTCCACACGGCGCAAAAGTTTCGAAACTTATATGCATATGATTCCACTTTTTCGTTGGGTTGTTGAGCTAGGGCATTCAAATCCACTTGCCATTTGTATCATTTTTCCAGGGTCACAAAGTAACGACTAAACTGTAGAACGAAACTGTCATCTGGTGCATGTACATTCTCCCAGTAGTCCAGGTGGTTTTTTATACTATCATAACAGTCAGCAGCTACACCTCGCAAATATCTGGATGCGAATTTACCTTCCTTTCAGCTGTCTAATTATTCGCATCGGTGGCCCTATCGAATGCTTCTATCCATTCCAAAGGGTCTTCATCTTTTTCCCCATGAAATACTTCAACATGGACCAAGTTGGTCACTTTATTCGGTGGTCAGGTAGCAGTGGCAGCTCCAGCAGTAGCATCTCTGAATGCAGTAGCAATCTCTCTCAAAATTGTTTGGACTGGGTCTTGAGCTTGGGCTTGAGGTTGGTTTTAGTTTCTCTCGTCTCTGACAAAAATTCTTTCCGGCATTGGTTGGTAGTGGTCCACAGGGGTACGACTTCCATCAGTTTGTTAGTCTTGATCCATTTCTTCGTGATTATCATTAGGGCGTGCAAATATTAACAGATCGTTATTTTGTCTTTGATTCATTCTAAATAGTGAAATAAAACTCCACTCAAAGGTTAGTAAAAAAAAAATATTTAAACAAAAAAAAAAAAATTCAAACGAAAAAGATTTAAACAACACAAAAAAATTTAAACACAACACAAAAATTTAAAAAAAAAATTAAAAATTTTTGAACACAAAAATTATCAGTTAAAATGGTTTTCCTTTGTTATAAAATCTTTCATTCGTTTGTTTTTTTTTTTTTTTTTTTTTTTTTTTTTTTTTTTTTTTTTTTTTTTTTTTTTTTTCCCTCTCCCCACCCCATTTTTTCGGAGCCCAAACCC